CTTGAGCCACAGCGCCACTTCCGGCTTTTTTCTTTTTGCTTATGTGGTGCTGAGGAATCGAACCCAGGGCCTCCAGCATGCAAGGCAAGTGCTCTACCACTGAGCTACCTTCCCAGCCCCAGAAAGTTGTTTTTTTTAACCCATATGGTGCCTGGATCTCATTCATGGAGATGCTAAGATTATTTGATCTGGAATATATTTGAGTGTATGAATTTTTCAAAGTTTTCAGGATTTGCTAATGTATAGCCAAAGCTGAAACCACTGCTCCTTTGTTAGGAAACTATTAGCCAACTAACTTCACTTACGACTTACTTCCTGCTCTTGTTCAAATGAAACTGTATGTTGGAAGAAACTAGAATTATTAGTTGCAGCTGGAGTATAAAAGTTACTGATACCAGGCATGGTGGCTCATGCCTATAATCCCAGCTGCTCAGGAGACTTGAGATCTGAGGATCACGGTTCTAAGCCAGCCTGGGAAGGAAAGGCCATGAGACTCATCTCCAATAAACCACTCAGAAAACTGTACGTGGACCTGTAACTCAAGTGGTAGAGCGTTTGCCTTGAGCTCAAGAGCTGAGGAACAGCACCCAGGCCCAGAGTTCAAGCACCACGACTGACAAAAAAAAAAAGTTACTGGCTCTTAGGAAATAGATGTCCACTCTTAGTTTATTAAATATAATTAACTTCCTTTGAAAATTAAAAGCCTTCCAACTTAAAGACAACATATAAATAAATGTACCCTTCATATACTCATGAAATTATTTATTTTGATGTTTATGATTTAGAATATATTTCTTATCTTTCTTTTCTTTTTTCTGTGTGTTTGGGAGAAGGGTCTATATTGAATTCAGGACCTGGGCACTATCCAAGCTTTTTTGGTTCAAGGCTAGCTCTCTAGTACTTAAACTACATCTCCACTTCCAGCTTCTTGTAGTGGTTAATTGTAAGAATCCCATGGATTTTTTTCCTGCCTCAGCTGGCTTTAAACATTGATCCTCAGATCTCAGCCTTCTGAGTAGGTAGGATTACAGGCATTATCTGCCAGTACCTGGCTTTCCTTTTTCTAGAATATCTTTCTAAATTTCTCTTCTGACTTTCTGATACTGAATATTTAATTTGTAACCTGATATCTATATAAAACCATCTCATAGATAAAGTGTTGGTGACACTGTAAATATCAGGCTGTGGTTGTGGTACAGAAATACAGTATTTTGCCTAGCATGTGTGAAGAAATAATATAAAGCTTCATATTAAAAAAAGAAGAAATAAGCCTGGTGCCGTTCACTCATGCCTGTAAATTCTAGCTACTCAGGAGACTGAGATCTGAGGATCATGGTTCAAAATCAGCCTGGGCAAGAGTCTATGAGACTCTACCTCCAAATAACCACCAGAAAACCAAAAGTGGCCCTGTGGCTCAAGTGATAGAGCGCTACCCTTGAGCTCAGGGACAATGCCCAAGCCCAGAGTTCAAGCTCCATGACCAAAAAGAGGAGAGAGAGAGAGAGAGAGAGAGAGAGAGAGAGAGAGAGAATCCAGATGTCAGTGACTCATGCCTATAATACTAGCTATTCCAGCCCAGGCAGAAAAGTCTATGAGACTCTTATCTCCAATTAACTACCAAAAATTTGGAAGTGTAACTGTGGCTCAATTGATAGAGTGCCAGCCTTGAGCTAAGAAGCTAAAGGACAACACCAGGTCCTGATTCAGGCCCTAGTACTCCCCAACCCCCCTTCCCCACCCCCACCCCCACCCAGCAAAAAAAAAGGTCAGATAAATTGTGTGCTACCATTACTAAAATTATGAATCACCAAGTAGCAATTCTTCCTTAACATAGAAACTTTCTTTTAGAATGCTGTGAAGTTCATTGACAGGGGCAGTTATCGAGAGATCTGGGAGAATGACTGGCTAAAAAAAGAGGTAAGAGGAATTCATCAGAATAATTTCTTTCTTTCTTTCTTTCTTTTTTTCTTTCTTTTTCTTTCGTCTGTCATGGAGCCTGAACTCGGGGCCTGGGCACTGTTGCTGAGTTTTTTTGCTCAGGGCTAGTGCTCTACTACATTGAGCCACCGAACCACTTCTGGTTTTCTGGTGGTTTATTGGAGATAGGAGTCTCATGGACTTTCCTGCCTGGGCTGCCCAGCCTCCTGAGTAGCTAGGATTACAGGTGTGAGCCACTGGTGTCTGGCTTCTTTCACAAATTTTGAACTAGAAATGACTGATTAATTGTAAACTGAAGTCATGGGGAAAACACTGAACTTTGATTAAGAGAAAGTAAAACCCAAGTGAAGTCCCATTGCTATTATCATTGTTACTCAGCACATACTATAAGTAATTTTAGTAACAACCAGAAATAATGTGGGGCTTTACACTTCACCCACTACACTCAAATATACGAAGTTTCTTGATGTCCTAAAAGTGAACTAGTCTTTTTCATGAGCCTCCTTCCTCCTGGGTTTCATGTCATCAACCTCCCCACCAATGACTTTTCCAAGATGGCCCCAGGAAATATGGAGAGGAGCACGTTGGGGAGAATAGTCGTGCATGGCTTTTTGTGAGTGTGTTACTGAGTGTGTTAGATCCAGGGGGCTTCCTTTGGATCCTTGATCCCTCTTGTCTTTCTTCTATACAAGAAGTACTGTTTAGATCAAAGGCCCAAAGTCCAGGAGCCCAGAGTGAGGTGTAGCCACTCACTCCATATGCCAAATAAAGAGACATAGTGAAAGGCAGAGAAAGGAGATTTATCACATAGAACTTCAGTACATCTTCAGCCATTTTCAGAGATCCAGACATCGGCTTAAATACAGCTCAGATAGAGAGAAGGGGGGCAGGCAATGAGAAATGTATGAATAATAAAACAGTCCCAAGTCACAGGTAAGGCCTAGTTGACCACTAGTTCGGAGTTCCAAAGAACTGTTATCATTTCACTCCTGGAACAGAAGAGGAATAAGGTGGTCTCCTGACTGTTTGGCTGTTGCTTTTAAGATGTTAAGAAGAAGGCATTGTCTGTAGGAGGATCAGCTTCCAGCTGAATCTTCTCTTTCCTCCTGAAGCCACAGCCCATCCATTTGCTTGTGTTCAAAATGTCCCCTGCTCACCGAGGCCTCTGCACCTCAACCCATCCTGACCTCAGGTTCTCTTCCCATCTCCTCAGCCAGCTGTGCTGCCTTCGACACAACTGCGGGTCTCTGTCCACCAGTGCTACCTCATGGCTCTGGCTGGGGTGGTCCAAGGCAGGTGCTCACTCTCCACACTATTGACATTTTGCACAGCTAATTCTTTGTTATGAGCTACTGTCCTGCCGTCCATGATGGCCCCTTTGTCATTGTCTCCATTCCTCATTTGTTCTCATCTGCCTGAAAACTCCTCCTTCAGGCACCAACTTTGATAATTTCATGAATCGTTTTATAACCTCAGGAAATCTTGAGGACTCACTCCAACATCATTCTCATTTCTCAGAGTGCTCTTTCTAAAATACGTTAAAAATTCATCTGTTGGTGCATCTGTGACCTTGATACACAGGCCATTTGGGTTTTTTCAATTGTATATTCATGTCACCTGATAAATAATTTATGCTTATTAAACATTTACTGAATGAATATCAATGAATGTAAATTCAGCTTAGAACATAGGTAAATAATCTTAGGTGATCCTAGATATTCTAAAACTTTTGTGAATTGTTAATGTTGTGTTGAATCTAGCAGTCTCTCTCTCTCTCTCTCTCTCTCTCTCTCTCTCTCTCTCTCTCTCTCTATATATATATATATAT